CGCTTCTTTCTTCCAAGTCTTAGTTGACTTCTCTGGGAAAGGAGGATGCCACGTACTGCCCTTTTAAAGTACTCACTGTGGAGTACGAAGATGAAAACTTAAGCACCAATGTCTGCACACTTGAGAGAGGAGAAGGAAAGTCTGAGATTTGTAGTTTTATTCCTGGGTCTACTGGTCATACATGGGGGAAAGATTTATTAGCGATATTACTGCAGCGGGTTGCAAGTGATACACTCTTTGGCTTAGCCAGTGCTCAACAGTTTTGGAGGTGTTTTTGACTGGATGCTACCCAAGAGAAAAAGGGTGGTATATGTCGTAGAAGAGGAAAATCAGCTTTAAATGGCATGAAAATTATGGGTGATAATACTTAGCAAACCAAAGAAGGACAATTGACCAGTATATCAGTACGCAGCATTACCTGGCCATGTGAGATGAGAGCAAATGCTGTAAAAAATAGACTACAAAAAGTTTGTTTTGATTTAGCATTTCTAAGGTTTCATTTAAACATTTCATGTAATTCTTTTGGCCTCTTGAGCAACAGCTTGAGGGAATCCAAATAGAAGGTTAAATCCTTTTGAAAATGCAAATGTAAATTTTCTACTCTTTCCTGCCCCTTCCTCCTTCCTTCCCTTTCCATTTACACATACACCCCCTGTTTCTTACATCTTTGAACTACAGCAGCTGAATGAGGTACATCTCAAATATATATGATGGGGGGGAAAAAAAAGGTCCATAAATTTAAAAATTAAGGGAGGTACAGCTGCAACTTCTTCAACAGATACACGTCTTGTAAGGAGATTGTTGTAAATCCTGTGTACTGCATATAGCTTTAGCTACTGTCTTTCAAAAAACAAAAAATCCAAACCCCAACACTGCTAAATGATGCTTTCTGCCAACTTCTTAGCTGATTCTCTCACTTTTAAATCAGCAGTTTGCATATATGTGAGTGGAAAAACTAATTGTAGGAATTTTTTTGGTTTTGCTTTGTAACCTAGTCAAGATGCTGTGTGAAAAATACAGAATTCCAGTATTCCTTTGATCATTTGATGCTCTGTGGGTGAGCAGCTTGTCACATTTTAGACTACCTCAAAAACAAGCAAACAAGCTTGTTTCTATAGTTATGATGGTCTCATGATACGATGGTCTCATGATACAAACAGGACAATGTTTGGCAAGAATGGTGATGTCCTGTGTTAGGCCAGCTGATATGCTTTGCAGCTCAAAGGAGAAAACAAGGCCTTTCAGCCTGAAACAAAAGCAGCAAACCTCGTTAAATCTTGTTTTGTAGTAATTTAGAAAGCCTATACAGGCTTTTGGTGAACTTGAGTCCCGTGACGTTTTCCGTACTATACTTCTAAAAGGAACTATTTTACTTCTGAATTAGTTATTTGATCTGCATACAATGATTTGTAACTAGGTGTTAGTATATTTATGAAGTATATTTTTAAAACCCTATTTATATTAATAGATCACATTTTTATATATATGAAAAAATCTTTCATTAAAAAAAACCCCTGTTGTCTTTTTGCTCAAATATCTTTCCAGAATTAAATTGTATTGATATTGTGGCGAAATGCTTAAATCCCATACTAGCTGTTTTTTTGGCTTCTCAAACTTAATGCATTTGACTTGTAGCACAGAAAATCAGTGTTTGATAATGTATGGCTGATAACAGCAGTAATGTGACAGATAATTAGTACCTGTAATTTTTCTGCAACTTAAACCAGTTGCATCTTTTTTGGTGATTATGAGAAATAGTCTGTGACACGCTCCGTAAAAGAAAATGCAAAATTTTCAGACAAGAATGCCCAAAGAGGTGAACAACAACAACAAAAAAGACTAAATATGTGTAAATACATATTTGCACATGTGCACCATCTCTTCTAGAGTTTTCTTTTTGGAAAGCCAATACTGAAGAAACTCTTCCTTACACACATAGCACGGTATTCTGTACTTCAGTGAGGCAGTATACAGCTTTCGTTACAACGACAAATACTGAAATGTTAAAAATAGATCAAGCGTTAAGAATCCTAGATATTTTCAAATAACAAAGAGTGATTTATGTGGGCTCATTTTGCACTTTGACAAAATATAGAGGCGCTTTTGTACTATGATTAGCAAGGGTGCTGATGTCAGTTCGCTTGTCTAGCTTTAAGCTTTATTCTGCTGCTAAATTGTGCTTTGTACTGTTATCCAGAGAACCTTTGTATCTGCCTTATTAGTGTGTAGTTTATGGAATTGCTTTTGTTTATGAATATAATATGTGCCAGTTTCAGTGAGTGTGACTCACTATATGACTGAAATAAACAGTCACATATGCACTATGTGAAAACCCTTCAAAAATAGCAGCAGGTGCTGGTAGGCAAAATTCAATGTTTTAAGTACTTTCTGGTTGCTATTTTGTAGCCCGAAGGGCTGAAAGCAAATTCCGTTTAGCTGGTTGATTTTTCTGAATTTTTAAGAGTCCTCTTTACTCCTTGATGCTGAACAGAAATTGTTAGGTTTGCTAAGAATCTTTCACTCCTTAACACAGTACTAGAAATAAACTTCTGGAAGAGGCATGCTTAGTTGATACAGAGTTGATTTTTTTTGTGTGTGTGTGTTACATGAATCGTAAAACAAAATGATTGTGCTGCTCAGTTGCTCTTGTCCTTCTCCTATCTCTGATCTCTTTCCTCCTGACTTAAGCTTTGAAAATCTCATCTGAAGGCTGAGGTTAAAGGTAAAGCTAGTTTCTGAAGCAACAGAGTTTTACAGTGTGGTTCCTATCAGTTATCTGTGATTGACCTTGTCTGGAGAGAGAGCCTCCAATATTGAAGTTTCCTGTTATCCCAGCATCTAAGCTGTCACTTGATTTGGAAACAGGAAACAAAACAAACTTTCCAAGTGGTTTTTGGTCGCAGTTGAACAGTGCTTGTCAGCTGTGCTGCTAGAAGGTGCTTACATTTGAAATCTAAGTTGAAGGGATTTCATCTGTTACATCTTCTACTTCTGTGTTTTACTGTTCACCCAGTCAAACTTACCACTACCGTGAAGCAGTTGCTTGAGACCTTAATTCATGCAGTTCAGCATTTAGAGGCAGATGCTGTGTTCACAACTGCAATAAAGATACTTGTTTTGTGAAGTATAATAGTTAATCTTAAAATCAAGTAACTTTTGGAGACTTCGTAGTTGGAGAATGGATCACAAGCCCTTAATTAAGCTGTCTGGCATTTTTCCCTTTCTCCTGTTTTCTGTATTATCTTTTCACAATAGTTTCCTGAGCTTGATGCCCAAAAAAGACATGCCCGCATGACAGTGAGGGGTTTGTGAGTCTCTAGTGCAAAGCTGACTGCACTGGTTCGAAGCTGGAAGGTAGCAGTGCAGTTCTTGCTCCTTGCCCTTTATGTCCTCCCACCACTAGTTTGTTTGAAGGTAACAGCTACATAAAAATAAAATGGAAACACTCTTGTGCATCAAGAAGATGGGTCTGAGTCTTTTCCTAATACATAGTAAGAAATTCTTATTTTCAAATCTGCGTCCAAGAGCGTAAAGGACATCACACGCCTTGACCTCTTCTGGGCTCATCCTTTCCTTGATTAGCATGCAGCCAGGGCTGGCCAGAAGGAGAACTCGCTCACCTGTTTTATTTTTTTATTTCTTCTGTTGTTTTTTGTCCTTCCAAAGGACTTGCTGATGACCTTGTTTGAATATCCTAAAGAAGGTTTAAATAGGGTGCCCTGGGACATGGTGTGAGTCGTGGTGTAACACGTGGTGGCTTGGCTACTGCATTGATTTCTCTGGGTCATCGGCTTCACTGAAAAGCATAAAAACAAATGGAGAAGACGGTGATGGCTCACCACTGTGTCTAGGCTCTACTTTCAGATTTGTAACTGTGAATGCAGTGCAGCTCTTCTAGTGGACAATGGCAGTACAGTTAGTTTCTTCTGCTGTGCCCATTATCCTGGCCTTTGTGCATATCTTACAGCATAGAATGCTGTGTTGTTGGTATAGCTGAGGAAGCAAAGTGCACTTACGTGAGGCAATAAAGGTGCTGTTGGTAACACCAGGACAGATGTATGCAAACCTTGGTTTCCTGGTTTGAGTTAGCATCTTTGGCGAGAATTATGCCAGGTGATGGAGGCCCATGGGAATGAAAGGTAGCTGAGGATTGGTTGGAAGATGAGGTATTTCAGTTGTGCTTTTTTCCTGGACCAGGTTCTTTTTCTGCTGTGGCAGGAAGGCTGGTATAACAAGCATGGCATCAGATTGTGAGGCGTATTTCTCCTGTGGATGTATCTCGGACAGAGGCTGGTTTTAGGTGGTAAAACTATAATGCTTGGTCATTTTCTCCATCCTCATCTCTCTAACGGTTTCCAAAATAATAATATGGCTCTTGTTGTGTAAGAAGTACTACTGTAACAATATTATGAAGTTCTGAGTGCAGAGTTCCCGTAGCATCGAGGTGAGTGTACAATGCAAGCATTGTCTGTTCTTTAAATGCAGGTCACTATCATTGAGTATTGGTGAAAAATTCAGAGTTAAAAGGCATCAGCCCAAAGCAGCAGCAATTGGAAACAAGACACTATGGAGCACTTAAAGACACATTTTATTTTGTCTTCTGCATGCGTACGTCAGCTACCTTCAGAAGTGTTTTGCATGTACTTTTTTCCATCTCCCGGTCCCCTCCCTGCTTTTTTCTTCACTGGGTTCATCCTTTCTCCTTTTGTAAACAGTGATTTAATTATATGTCCCCTTCTTAAAAATAAAGCTCAAATACAGAGGAAATAAACTTTAAAATACAAATTCACTAATCCTTTAGTCTACTGCTGTAACAATACGTAAATAGATTGTGTTAAGTGTAGGTAACGTGTGTAATCTCTTAGAATCGTAATTGAACTACTTATTATTACTTGGTTGAAACCAAGGCTGAAAACATACGCAAAAGGTAACAGTCTTAAAGTATGATTTCTTCCTTCTGATTTTTCTCCCTTTATTCTCTCTCCAATTTTCAGGCATGGAAGAGGAGATGGTTTGTGCTTCGCAGCGGCCGTTTAACAGGGGATCCAGATGTATTGGAGTACTACAAAAATGACCATGCCAAGAAGCCTATCCGTATTATTGACTTAAATTTGTGTCAACAAGTGGATGCTGGATTAACGTTCAACAAAAAAGAGTTTGAAAATAGTTACATTTTTGATATCAACACTATAGACAGAGTTTTCTATTTGGTAGCAGACAGCGAGGAGGAGATGAATAAGTGGGTTCGATGTATCTGTGATATCTGTGGGTTCAACCCTACAGATGAGGGTAAGTTCTGTTGGTTTTTCTGAGAAAGTGCAATGCCTACATGCAAAAAATGTTTCAAAGATCAGGTGACTATCTTTAGCTGATATATGTTTTAAAACTTGTATGCATTGGCTACTAAACTTCCTTGTTACTCTGGAAAAAAAGTGAGCAGAACAGAGGGAGGTATTAAGAATTTGTTACAAATTAAGTGTGCCATAGAACTTCGATGATGCACTTCTGTTTTGCATGATGTTAGATCTTGAGAGTATAGGAAAAATCTTTAAGTAAAATCCTGCAAATCTGAAGATCATCATAATCATCAGAGGAATCTCTCCATCTGCTTTGCAGTTCGGGGGGAAAAAAAGGTCCACCCCCCCACCAGCCGAAACAAACAAAAAATAACTTGTAATTCTTCACTATCCAGCTCTAATCCTACTAAAACAGACACTGTGTGAAAGCAGCTTGTAGGAAAAAGGATGGTGTGTTCAATTTCTACAAATACCTTGTGGCCATTGCTTGTCCTCAATCTATCCTTATTTATTTACTTGTTATTCCTGCATTCCTTGTGGAGATTAGTGGGTTCCATGACTTGCTCTGTGCACAGTCCCAAGAAAAGATTAAATAGGAGTGGTAAGAGAGTTATATATAAGGCATGCCTGACTGAAGGGTCTAGAATTAAATCCCTGTTTTTTGTAGGATTGTGGATGGAGGTACATGGGGGGGGAAAAAGGGCTTGCATCTCTTCTGCTCCAGGCAAATCTTAAAAAAATTGCTGATAAATATTGCGGCTTTCTGAAGAGGGGCCCTTTTTTTTCTTTGTATTGCAGTTTTGAACTAAAACTGTGTCATGAAAACTTCATCTATGAATTACCACTCTAATAGCAAATTCAGTGAAGGGTACTTGTTTTGACAGTTCCAGCATGTTTTTATGACATCCTGAACATAATGGAGACCACCCACAGCATGTTTCTAAGAGTGATTGTCATGTGATTGAGTATTCAGTCTGCCAGGCATCTGTTACGCACGGGAGAGAGGTAGGCAGGTGGTTGCTTTTCAGTGGATAATACACTAGTGCACCAGTGCAGCTGTGGGCAGGAGGCGCTCAGAAATCATTGGTTCTGGGGACAAACTAGGCATCTGGGAAGTAAGGAGGAGATGTGTTTACCTGGCAGCCCTTGTCTGTGTGAGAGCACAAAAGAGCAAGCGTCCATTGCATGGAATGGAGATGGGGGGTCCTCTCAAAGCCATGAGGCCTTTCCTTGCTTGAGAGCTGGTGTATTGCTAATCCTTAATTTTCTGTTGATGTTAATTACATCTTCTCATGAACTGAAGATGAAACATGCTATGGATGCAGAGAGAACTGACTATGCCCACACTCGCTGTTTGGACCAAAACTGGTTTTTGCTTCAGTCAATTCTATTAGTAACTTATCCTCATTATACTCTCATTGCATGTTTCATCTTTGGTGTTTTAGCTTTACCTGAATTATCCCGACACCTTTGCTTTACGTAACTGAAAGTTGACAGTACTGTCTGTTTTATGGATTTAGTAACGTCTTGCAGTGCTGCATTGAGGAAGAATTAAAGAATGAAAATGGGCAAATCAGTTGCTGAGTGTCTGTTTATGGCCAAGTTGTTATTTTTACAAGATAAATCTTCCTACTAGTGGAAGAGCAAGTTACAAACGTACTTTATAAAATCTGTGTTAACCTACAGTTTATTTTGAGAAGTTAAAGAATAGGTGAAGTTTACTGCAGCCAGTAAAAAGGCACTATTATTTTAGTATGGCACTAAACAAAAAGATTTTATGGGGCATGAGAAACCTTCCCTTTAGCGTATGGAAGCAGAAGATAGTTTTTTTTGAAGCTGGACAAAGCACCTCTTGCCAGGCTCTTGCTTGCTAGTCTTGTTACGAGACAACTGTCATTGGCATTCTTTGCTTGATGAAGGACTAGGGGCACTGCTGGCCTGTTGCTGCTGCGGCTGTTCATTTGGAAGCCCAGTCCAATTGCCTCTTTGGATTTAGAAAGAAAAAAAAATTATGAGATGGTTAGTGTTATTAGAAAACGAATACGGTGTTTTGGTGTTGGGAGGAATGGGGGAGAAAGAGTTGATCATAACTGTGGAGAGACCAAAAGTATGATAAAGATTACTTCTTTAGTCATATTTACAAGCCAGTGAGCCTCCAGCTTCTGATTACATCGTAGCATAGTGTGATCTGTGATGATTACATGACAGTTACATTATGTGGCTTTTTATAGGGACTTTCTTTCAAGGAAGGGTTTACAGTGATTTTAAAACTTGCAACAAGGTGGAAACATGAAGGAAATTTTAAAATAAAAACAAACAAGCTAAATCTACTGCTTTAAAGAAATTTCTGTGTACTTTTTATGTTTTCTTCAGCTAATGCTTCTTGTTTTCAAATGGCAGTAGTAAAATGTTTGTAGCATCTCTCATTTTAAAATGCACGTGCAAAGGTGGGGGGAGCTACACATGAGTGTGGGTTTTAGGTTTACAACCGAGTTTCATACTGCACTTTTAGCATTCATATTTTCTCTGTAAAGTCATAATATATTAAGTCATTTAGAGGTTAAAATGTAACTATGAGCAAAAATGTGTTGCCAGTGTTTTGTGTACTTTGAACTCAAGTAAGAGACGTTCTGGGATGGAGAGACTGAATGGAAGTGGGAGATGACTGTTCTCCTCTGCCTCGTGCTGTGGAGACCTCAGCTGAAATACTGTGGCCTGAGCTTCCAGAAGGATGAGAATAAATGTTTACAAAACGGTAGAAATAGAGGAAATGGATTTTTTTTAAGTTGATCGATGAGGAGAAAAGTTGAAGGGTTTGTTTTTCTCAGGAAGAAAACACAGAGAGAAGAGCTGTATTTCAAAGTATAAAAAGCTGTGATAAGTAGGACATGGATCAGGAGTTACCTGAAGAGAGAAGTAATTTGTTTCTCTTTCAGTGAACGATGTAACGATGAAGAAAAAACTTCTAAGGATATTTAAGCACAGGCCGTGAAGCCCTTCCCTAGAATTCAGCGGACTTCTGTGCTGAATGTTTTATACGTGATCTAGCTCCATGTTGCTCTAGTTTAGTGAACTGCGTTCTTGGCAGAGCAGGGGAAGGAGGAAATAATCTTACTATATGCAAACATAGTACTTGCATGTATTCATTTGAACAAAGATAGCAATAACAAAGTAAACCAGAAGAAGTAACAAAGTAAAGCAGAAGGAAAAATAGAAAAGGGAAGAACAAGACGTTGAAAACCACAATTACATTTATGCAAATAATTACATGTGGTAAAGAAAGATTCTGTCATCATAAGGACCGTAGTTTGAAAGAGCTACAGCTTGCTTCACACACAGCGCTTTCAAAGTTTGCAGTATTTCTGCTCAGGCAGCTTGCTATCTGGTATATGCTTCTTGTGCCTTCTGTATTTTGAACAGTAAAATTGGTCTCAGATAACCATTTTTTTTAAATTGTGTTCTGATAATACATGCAGTGCAGGTTGATCGTAGTGTGGGTGCAATATCAGTGATTGGCAGGATGAGGGTTAACCCCACCTTCTAACTCTGACTCCTCGTAGTCTCTCTAATGCTGCGTGGTCAGGCATCACAGCTGCTACTCTGTGTTAGAGATCTCCGTACCACATCGGGATACTCCTGTGCTGCCTGTAACACCAGTGTGGAAGAGAAAACAGGCTCTGCTGCTAAGAACTTACTATCTGCAAGAAGAGACTTCAACGTAGGAGCAGAGGCGTGGGAAGAAGTGAAAGCAAATAAGGTGGTTTTGACCATTGTCACAGATAAGCGGTCCTAGTGCTTCAGCCGTTCGACTGTTGTTGAACTCTGGGGTTTTTGAGAAGAAATTTTCAGACGGTTTTTGGTAAATAAGTAGTGGACATTAGAGGTGTTTAGGGTGCCCTTCCTGCATGAAGGGTCTGCCTCTAAGAAATAAAAAGTGTTCTGCTTTGACAGGTTTGACAGCTGGATGATAGAGGCTGGCACACTTGGCAAATCAAAATCGCCATCTCAGTAACATGTGATAAACATTAGAGATTTTCATCATGAAAGGGCAGAAAATTGAGGAAAAACAGCACGAGGTTTTAGTTGAAGGAAGGGAGGCTCTGGAGGAGCATAGAGAGAAGTGCAATGACAGAGTAAAAACCTTAAAAAAAGTCTTTGCAACAAAGTTGCACCATAGAGATAGTATACTTAATGACGAGTTGAGATTTTTTTTATCTCTTGGTTGAGATTAACTAGAAAGAAAGTCAGCGCAAAGATGACATGCCAGGAGGATGACTGACGGGTGACCTGGAGTGTAGTAAAGAATAACATGAAAGGACCAAGTTAAGCATTAGGAGAGAGATGCTATGGATAAGGATTGTGGGTCTGTTGTCTTAGTAGTGAGGCAGTAGGTTTAGAGGGAATAGCGGCACAAGGGTGTCTTTTTTTGGAGAGGCTTTTTTGGTTGCTTGCTTTGAGGAAATAAAGGTGTGGGATAGTGGCCATTGAGATGTACAAACATATTTTTTTTTTTTTTTTTTTTTTGTGGAATTGCTGAAAGGAAGGTGAGGATAGACTGTGAAGGAGGCTGTCAGAATTGCGAGATTTCATCTGGCAAAATTGTAGAGGAATAATGGAGGAATCAGGACCAGAGGAAGGCCTGAGACTTGGCACAGCAGGTTTAGTAGAGGCAGTAGCTGGTGGCAAAAGAGCTAGGTAAAGGGAGGCAAAGCTGAGATAGTCATTGCCCGTTATCCAAAAGAGAAAGAGAAGAGGGCAGAGAAGATGTAAGATGTCTTTGACTTCAGATGGTGTGGTTAAAAGATGGGTGGTTAAGTGAGCTGGTGATGATTAATAGATCTCAAAATCTGTGACAGCAGGTCTTCCCTTACAAGTAAGCAAGGGAAAAAATACGTTTATGAAGAAGACGTAATTTACTATTGGGAGTGCAGTCAGAACCTTAATCTTGAGTGTTTGGGGTTGTTATTTTAAGCTGCCAGCTGCACGTGACAA